GGTAGGGGAGGTCTGCACACTACGCAGCATGGAGGACCAGCCACATGGCCATTCCCCCACCAGCTCCCACCTGGGAGCCCGCCCGGCAGTGCCAGGGCAGGAATGGGGGTGTAAAGATGGGCTGGGCTGGGTGCACACTCCCTCCCTGGGTGGAGGGAGAGCACTGGCCCGGCCCAGCAGCTTCCACAGTGAGCCCAGGGGAGGGTGGGTGTCACTGAGAGCTGGGGACTCTGCCGGGCGGGACTGGGCAGGACGAAGGGCCACAGCAGGCCTATGGGCCTCCCCTCAGCCCTGGAGGCCAGGCCTGACCCCAGCCAATGCAGCACATCGGTGCTCTGCCTCAGGTGATCCCATGCCCACCAGCACAACTAGCTGGTGTGTGTGTGTGTGCGCGTGCGTGTGCGCACAGGAGTGAGAGTGCACACATGCATGTAGCATACTCCATACACAGTGTGACTGGCCCTTGAGCTCCTCAGGGCCCAAGCCTGCTCTGTGTAGCACTGTACCCAGCACCTGGGCCATCCGACACACAGTGGCGAGAATGGATGAGTGACTGTTGTATGTCCAGTCTGCCGATGTCTCAGCATGGACAGGGAGAGCCTGGACAACTCCTGGGAGAGGCCATGCCCTGCCCTGCCCCCCAGACCCCAGCTGGCAGGAAGGCCTGGAGCACTGAGAGGCGGGCTTCTCAGCTCAGCCATCTGGCTGGACAGTGGTGCTTTAACAGGACCGGAAGCCCCTCCTGCCTGGGCCTCGTGTGTCTGGGGACACGAGTTGGAGGCTCCTACACGTCTTGCCCTCTCCAAAGTCCCTGACCTGTGATCTACCGTAAAGTCCGGACCACCTCCCAAGAACGGCAAGGCCAGCGGCTCCAGGTCCCGAGGTGTGGCGTCCCCAAGCTAGGAGGCCTTCGCCACATGCTCGGAGCCAGGCTGCTCCAGCAGGTGCCCTCCACCCACCCCCAGGTGGTGGAACAGCCACATGGGGGGAAGGGGGAAGGTGGGAGCGAGTCCGGGACAGGCCAGGCTCTCTGCAGGCTGCACACCGAGAGCCAGCAGGGCTGGGGCACGAGAGGGACTCACGCTGGGACAGAGCAAGGCCACACACAGGGACTGCACCAGCCGCACCCCTGCTGGGTGAGGGCTGCGCATGGAGGGGCCTCCACCCTGGGCTGCACCAGGAGTAGAGACTTCAGCACAGCTGGGTCCCGAGACTGAGTGACCCTCCGCCCCACCCACAGTTGCTGACAGCTGTGGGGCCCAAGCCTGGGCCCAGCCCTGGATGTGCAGAGACGTAGAAAGAGGCTGCTTGTGTCTGGGCAGCCACCCCAGCCCACCCGTGCCAGGGCAGCCGCATGGCAAAGCATGGGTGCCACTCCTAGGCAGACCACGGCTCAGCTCCCAGAGCCACTCACAGGGTGGTGCCCTTGGGCTGGGCACTGACCTCCCCGAGCCCTGGTACAGCAAGCTGTTCAGCAAGGGCAGCTGTTGGCAGCACATCACCATGGCAACCTTTCCGGCCAGGGCCAGGAGAGGAGGTCCAGGGCCCAAGACAGCGGGCAGCTGAGGCTCTGCACTGCCCGGGAGCCACACGAGAAATCGGGCCGCAGTGCCCAGCGCGTGCCCTACTCCCGGGCCAGGGTGAGGCTGGGCATGTGACAGCTAGGACATCTCTGGACGCAACACGTCTGGCCCAGGCAGGGGCGGAAGCTGTGGGCAGTGCTGCACCCCCTCCTCACAGCCAGGAAGGGCTGTCCAGCTCTGTGTGTGTGTGCAGTGGTGCGGACCGAATTCAAGGCCTTTGCATTGAGCTACATCCCCAGACCCTTTTTATTTTTTATTTGGAGAGAGGTTCTCACTAGGTTGCTTAATAGCCCAAGGTGGGCTTGAGTGCATAATCCCCCTGCCTCAGCCTCCCCAGTGCTGGGATTATAGGTGAGTGCCACAGCATCTCAGCTTTTTAGTCAACTTTATTCTTACAAAACTAAACATATTCTTGCCTTATAATCCCATGGTCACATTCCTAGGTGTGGACCCCAAAGGATTAATAACTTATCAAGGGGCCAGGGATGTAGCTCAGTGGTACCTCACCTGCCTGGCAAGTCCAAGGTCTTGAGTTCAATCCCAGGTACTGCAAAAAGTAATAGGAAAGAAAGGAAGAAAGAAAGAAAGAAAGAAAGAAAGAAAGAAAGAAAGAAAGAAAGAAAGAAAGAAAGAAAGAAAAAGAAAGAAAGAACACATCAGTATCCGTTCAATCGTTAGCATGTCCCTGTGGCCAGAATGACCACAGCCAGAGAGGCTGTGTTCACTGGGGACGCGGGGAGGGGGTGAGCACAGCAAGTCTGCACTTACTCTCAATTTTACTGTGACCCTAACACTACTCTAAAAAATTAGTTTACTAATTTTTTAAAATCAGCCTTATTAGCCAGGGATGGTAGCTGTGCCTGTAGTCCCAGCTACTCAGAAGGCTGACACAGGCATTGTTCAGAACTTGAGACCAGCTAAAGTGCCATGGAAAGACTGAGTCTCAAACAAAGAAAAAATCAACCTCATTGAAGTGTAATTTGCATAAAGCAAAGGTCAAAGTCTTTCACACAAGATGACAGCGAGCCCTGGGAGCCTCCCACCTGATAGGACTTCCGGCCCTCAGAGAGCTACCTCTGCCCGTCTGACCCCACCAGACTCCGTGTAACCTCAGGCTCCAGGCCTTCTGGGCTGGGTTCCCTTCCTGGGCTGCATGTCCTCTGCCACTCATGCCCTGCCGCGTGTGGCTGCCCTCGCCCGGTACTCAGTTGGAAGCCACACGTGTTGGAGGTCCTGCCTGGAGCCCCTTACCCAGCCATCCACCTGTGCAACCAGGGGCCACTATGAACCCCACAGCCCTGGGGCGGGCACAGCACAGGGCTGCTGGGGTGCATAAGAAAACTCCTGCCAGCCAGGGATTTAGCTCAGTGGTTCTGGCGCCTGCCTCACAAGCGCAAGGTCCCGAGTTCGATCCCAGGTACAAAAAAAAAAAAGCATGCAGAAAACTGCTGCCTGCCGGGCAAGTGCAAGGGCCTGAGTTTGATCCCTGGTACCAAAAAGAAAACTCCATTTTTTTCAATACTGATCTCCGGGCAGAGCCCCAGCCCTGTCCAAGCCAACCTCCGCCAGAAGCAGCCCACCAATGAGAGCCTAGGGAAGCCTCGGGGCTCCTGTCAAGCGCCTGGAGGACCACCTTTCAGATGAAGCTGACTCAGAGCTTGTGTAACTGGCCCAAGGTGGCCCAGCTCTCAAAGCACGGAGGCCCAGGTTCAGACCTCTAGATTTAAGGCTGAGCCAGGCCAGTGTGAGAGCCAGCACTGCCGTGGGGTGTGTACTCTGCCTTTCCATGAGGACCCGCCAGGCAGCCACATGCTCCCCCGCCAGGCACATGGTATACTCAGCCAGACTCAAGACCAGCCCCAGCATGTCACACGTGCAAACACACAGGTGGACACACACAAGCTGAGGGCAACAGCTGAGCACTTTGAAACGCCCACGCCACGGCTGAGTCTGCTCAGGCTGCTGCAGCAAAATGTCTCATCCTGTGGACTAAAGACAGCAAAATCTTCCCTCTGGGCTCTTGGAGGCTGGAAGTAAAGGGGACACAGGCAGCTTCGGTGCCTGGGGAGGGCAGTGTCCTGATTCACAAACAATCCCACCGCCTCCGCAGGTCCCTTGGCCTCCTGCAGTAGAAAGGTCAGGAGCTCCCTGTACCTTTTGCGAGGACACTGACCCCATCCAGGAAGGCTCCACCTCCTGGTCTCCCAGCTCAGTCGACTCCCAAGCCCCTCAGTACCAGAACCATGAAGTTAGGATTTCAACATATGAATCTGGGGGAACACAGATCTTCGGACCACAGAAAGCAAGCGTGCTCACACACACACACACACGCATGCATGCACACCTGTGCAGGTGCACATGAACACATAGTCTCCACGTACCAGGCCGTGCCCGCACTCAGCATGCCCAACCCCTCCATGGTTCACACGCCAACGCACACCAAAATATCTGGGCAGGGGGGAGCAAGAAGCATCCACAGGGCCCCACAGCCTGACCAGAGCCTGCGGGGGCCCATGCCAATGGCAACTCCTTCCCAGAGGCCAGCTGAGGGGGCCCAGTGGGACCAGAGATGGTCCAGCCCTTACCTGCAGCCCAGGGCCAGCTGCTACAGCCAGCAGGGAGCAGGAAGTCCACTCGGTCTGTCCTCTAACCCAAGGACACTCCCCCATCCCATCCACTTGGGGGCTCTGAGGGTCCTCACCAGCTCCCTCCTGCAGCCCCATGGACTTAGTAGTCCCCGGCTTCTGCGAAGAGCTGGACAAGCTAAGAGTGGGTGACCAGGAGGATGTGGGAAGCCACCCTCTCTGCAGAGTGAAGCCACCACATTGTCATCCAGGGAACAAATGCAGAACCCAGCACCTGGCTCCTCCAGCACCCTGGGCCAGGCCAGCCCTCCCTGTCACACCGGGGCCCCAAGTGGCTAGGGCACCCACAGACCCTGGGCAGAGGCCAGGCCTCAGCCCCAGCCCCAGCAGGATCACCTCCAATAGCAGTCTCTGGATTCCCATCCCCTGGACTTTGGCAGAACCGATCCTGGGCTTATCCCCAAATCACAGACGAGGAAACCGAGTCCAGTCAGGGGACCTTTGCCAGCCCAAGGTGAGCTAGAGGTGAGCTGGGGTCTCTGGGCTGGGGAGCCCTGCCCACCTCTGTCCCCCAAAGTATGTGCAGGCGCTCTCCTGCCCGCCTCCGCGTGCCCTGCACGCTCGCAGTCCTCCTGGGCCCCTGGATGCTCCCTGTCACCAGCTTGGCTGCCAGGGCAGCGGCACCAGCCACGGGGAAATTATGGGGAAACAATTCCATCTCTATTCTCCAGGCCCAGCCTGTTCTGCCACTTTCTGCGAGATGGCAGAACCTGTCCAACGGCTTTGGACAGTCCCTGCCTCCTTTCTGCTCCTGGCTGGGAGAAGGGGAAACCTGTCCTGCAGGTTGGGCCAAAATACCGCCTTGTTGCCTGTGGAAGTCCACACGCTGCTCACTCCTATCTCCGGGGTGGGGGCGCTCAGCGCGGCACACGGCCGGCCGGAGGTCGAGGCAGGGCGAGGCCATGTGAGTACCCAGTGGCACCAGGCAGGGCAGCTGGAGAAGCCAGGGGCCGGGTCACCAGGATGGGACATGCCACGGGGGCTGGAGGCCCAGCTCAGGCTCCCTCGGGAGCAGGAAGCAGAGGTGGGTGGCCCACTGGGTAGCGTGAGCGACTCACAACCTCCCAGCCTGGGCCCAAGTGAGGAGGGGCCCAGTGGGCTTCCTGGACAGGGCCGGGTGCAAACAGGCAAAGCCTGGTGACACACGGGCCCAGGAGCCTGCGGTCTGGAGGGGCTTGAGGGCTCCTCCATCCCGGACCTCCCACTGCCCCGAGCCCATGGGGCAGGACCACGGCAGCCATGGGGCAAGCGGAACGTGTGGGGAGCCACCCATGGCTCGGCTCAGTGTGGGGCAGCCCAGCTCAGGGTGGCAGCGCTCGGCCCCTGCCCCCAGGCCTGGAGGCAGCAAGGGCCAGCCCAGCCCTGAGGAATCGGGTTGCAGAGCCCTCTGTTACCTGAGCCGCAGAGCAGCCTTGCTCCTCTATGCAGGTGCGCACATGCACGTGGGGTGCACACACAGGAGACACACTCTGTGCCCCGAGCATACATGTGCAGCTGGACCTGGGTCCGTGCCATCGCTGTGCACATGGCAGAGGGGGTAGCTGAGGCTGCACATGGGTGCTCCTTGGCATGTGTGCAAATGTGGGTTTCTCCGCGTGAGGGTATTGCTGCTGCCCATAGGTGTATGAGGGCAGCACACACGTGTGCACCAGTCCATCGTGGGCCTCAGTGTCCGAGAACGTCGGTAATGCTCAGCAGAGCGCTCTGGATGTGGCCCTCCGCCCTGGACAGGCCCAGGAGGTTACTAGAAGCCCTGGTTTGTGCCCAGACCAGGTCCCTTGTGAGCTGGTAACTGTAGCCTCTAGCATCCTGCATTAGGACTCACCACTGTTTTCTAAATGGGGAAACTGAGGCATGGCCAGGCAAGAGAGTTGATAAAAGTCACCAAGGGAGAGGCTTTGCCTGTCACTGCAGAAGCCCCCACACCGAGTGGGCGGAGATGCTGGAGCCAGCCAGACCTTGGTTCGAATCCTGCCTCCACCTGTTCACCTCCTCTGCTTCCAGCCTCAGTATCTCAATCTATAGAATGGGACGCCTCTTCCATGGCCAAATGGGCTCTGATCGCATCATGTGAGCACACATGCCATGAACATTTCAGGGACTCTGATGGCATGCCTGGCCCTGGGGTCCCCAGGCAGGAGGCAGAGGGGGGATGAGGAATCACTTGGCGATGAGCAGTCAGGGTACATAAAGCAGCCCAGGGAATGGCTCTGAACTCAGCCTCCTCCATGAGACTTCGGAGGGTTTCAGTGCCCCACAAGCCAGAATAGCCCGCGGCACAAAGTGAGGTGCAGGGTGGCCCACGGGCCATGCACCTGCTGCAGCCACTGCTGCAATCAACACTGTTCTTGAAGGCAGGTGGACAGTCAGATAGACAGACCAACAGTCCCGTCCAGACAGCAGGAGAGAGTCCTCTCCCCAGGCACCCCTCTCCCAGGAGCAGGAAGGGGGCAGAGAGAGGGACGGCTGCATGGGCAGATACCCTTGGGCCATGGAGCCAGGCAGCTCCTTGATTCTGCACCTGAAGGACAGGGAGCCAACCCAACCCCCAATGACACAGGCTCAGTCAGCCTGAGGACCCAGGGCCCCAACTACCCTGAGGCCAGGACTCGGGTCTGGCCACTGGCACTGGGAGGCAGGGTACCAGTGGGCACCTCTGTGGCCTCCCACCGGGCCAGGTGCCCTTTTGTGGCTGCAGCCGGGGGATGCCCTCCTCTGTGTGGGGACCAGAAGGTGCTCCCCTGGGCTCAGATACCACGACCCGTGGACTTGAAATCCACAGTAGCTGACTGCGTGCTTTCACCATGGAAACCCAGGCCTCTCCCCTGGACTGGGGAGGGGTTTGTCCTGCAAAAGGTCTTTTTGGCCACTGGACTTGAGCTTGTCACTAGAAGAGGGGCTCCTGCTGGTGGCACCACTAGCCACCTGGGGCTGTGAGGAGGGAGGCAGAGGGCCACCATGCCCTGATCCTGCATAACCTGAAACGCGCAGTACTCACTGGGACCCCTGCAGCAACCTGATATGTGGCAAAGGTGTACATAAAACAGGCTCAGAGAGGTAAAGCAACTTGCCCAAGGCTCCCCAGAGGACAAAGACGGAACAGGAGCCATGTCCAAAGCCCTTTCCTTTAGCCCACTGCCCAGACTGATGCCCCAGCCAGCTGCTGGGTGGGGGGTGGGGCACTGAGACCCAGCCCGCTAAGACTGACATAGTGGTGGAAAACCCCTGCCTCCTCTCTGGCTACTCTGCAGGGGCCTGGGGGGCAGGTGGGGCCCTGGGAGGCAGGTGGGGGCCTGAGGGGCAGGTGGGGCCCTGGGAGGCAGGTGGGGGCCTGAGGGGCAGGTGAGGGCCCTGGGAGGCAGGTGGGGGCCTGAGGGGCAGGTGGGGCCCTGGGAGGCAGGTGGGGGCCTGAGGGGCAGGTGGGAGCCTGAGGGGTAGATGGGCCCTAGGAGGCAGGCAGGGCCTTCAGCAATTGCTCTCCTGGGGGGGACGCAGGAGGAAGGTGATCTGGCTAGCTCTCAGGCTCCTTGGATCAGGGATGTGCCCTGTTCGGGTCTGGTGGAAGGAGCACACTGCCATTTGAAGGAGCAGAACCTGCAGGCCCAGGAGCCCCACACGGCAGCCCTGAGCCAGCCAAGGCTCAGGCCCACCCCCCTAGCTTGGTCTGTGGTCAAAACCCCCCTCAGGGGCCCTCTGTTCTCATCCACAAAGGGGGACCGAGAGCAAGACCTACCAGGTTGGACCTGGTAGTAGCTCAGAAGGTGGCAGTTGTGAGTCCCTTTGCACCTGCCCCCAGGGTCCAGCCCCAACTGACAGGTGGACACAGGTGAACAACCTGCTCTGTCCTTCCACCTGCTCCTTCCTTGGGGCTCAGCCACAGCCTGGGCACCAGGAGGGGATGGTGTACCCCTGGGCCAGCCTGCGGCCCCTCAGCCAAAGCTCAAGTCTCTGCTCACCCCCACCTGAGCAGTCCCCGAGCTCCCCCACATCTCCGCCTCACACAGGCCCCCGGCAGCAGGCCAGCCCGTCACCCCTGCAAGCTTGTCCCCCGTCCCAGCCCTCCCAGCTCCCAGCCAGGCCTTGGCACCTGGAAATACCCCCTGCCGCCTTCAGAGTCCCCTGCATCCCAAGTACACCCAGGAGCCCCTTCAGCCCAAGGCCCCACACCAGGTTGACAGGCCCTCCTGACCCCTGGCATGGGGCAGCTGGGTGTGCCTGTGTGCTTTTATGTCAGGCTCATTCTACTCCTACCACCCACTTGTGCCCCAAAGCACCTGGGCTTGCAGACTGTTCCACTGGGGCACCTCCCCACTGCCACCAGCCCACCCAGCTCTGAGTCCAGCCACCAACCACACTGCTCTGCCCATGGGCCCTCAACACACTGTCCCTTGCCAGCATCCTGGAGAATATTTCCTGCCATCCTTGAGGCCCTGAAGAGAGGAACAGCCAGGCAGGGCCTGCAGTGTCTGGTGCAGAGAGGGACCCTTGAGTGGGAGGGCACAGGGCTCACAGGGAGAGCTCAGGTCCTGCGTGCCACCTCAGATCCACAGTGAGGTCACTGGGAACAGCGCCCAGCTCACGTGGACCCAGAGCCCACAGGCACCTCGGGTTCCTTTGGATGGTTCTTTTACGGGCGTTGGCCCAGCCCATACAGCAGGCACCAGGGGCCAGGGAAGAACAGCCCACTGGGCAAGTTTGGGTGGAATTTCAGGTGCAGCAGCTCAGCCCAGCCTGAGCCACGGAGGCCCCAGCTGGCCACCACACCTCCCAGGCCCTTAGCCAGCTAAGGCCAGCATAGCCGCGGAGCCACCGGGGAAGTGTCCCAGCCCCCACTGGGCAAATGCACAGGACAGGCAGCTCCAAAGCCAAGGTGAGCCCAGCTACCACTCCCCTGTGCAAGGGAGGTGCGAATGTGACCTCTCTGAACCTCAGTCTCCCCATCTGGGCAGGGATAGATGGCTATGGTGAAAGTGATGGGTTTCCAGCTCGAGAGAGCATGAAGCTTGGGAACTGGGGCCAGAATTACCGATCACTGTGGTCACGTGACCACACCCTAGCCTGAGCCTCTGGAATTCAGAATCTTGTCCTTAACCTGCAAGAACACCCCCAACAGGTGAACCCACACTCCCAGCCTCCGGTCGGCCTCCGAAGAGTGGCAGACCTCCCATCCTTCATTCCAGAGCCCTCACCCACGGGACACCATGCCACCAACTGTCGCCCCTGCCCCCTCACAGGCTCTGGGGCAATCTCAGAGCCCAGGTGGGCCAGCAACACAGGTTTTGGGGACCCAGCTCCTGTGCTCTGCTCTCCATCATGCCCCAGCTTGCACTGCCCAGCAGGCTCCCATGGGCTCCCTGAGCGACACGGTGTCCCTAAGCCCAGCCTTGTGCCTGGATGTCACAGTTCTGTCTGGTGCTCTGACACTTGGCTGTAGATACGAGGACCCAGCCAAGAGCCAGGCCTGAGCCAGGACCCCAGAGTTTCTCCTTCAGGCAGCTCCAGCCCCATGCTCACCTCTTGAGGCCCCAGGCCAGCCACCAGTGAAGGGCACCCACTGCCCGACCCCCAAGAGCCTGGAGTGGTCGTGTCTCTCTGTGCTCAAGGGCCTTTGGATCTCACATGCCAGGGGGCATCGTGCAGTGGGACACGGGCACTTGGGAGCTTGGCCTGGGCCCTTCCTGCAGCACTGGGTGTCTGCCCTGCTCTGAACACTGCAGGTGTCTTTGGGGCAGTCTTGGAAATGCCTGCGACATGGTGTCCTCTCCTCTGTGGCCCGTGCTGAGGCCTTGGGCACAGCTCATATCGCAGGCTCACCCACAGACATCAGCAGAGGGTGGAGGCTCGGGGTGTCGCTGCACCACAGCCAACAAGAGAGCGCGCGTCCTGCTGTGGAGGCCAGCCGTGCAAGGAGAACGTCAGAGGGGAGACAGGCACTGGAGGGTGAACGTGCTGAGACCCTGGGTCACAAGTGCTCCCATGTCTGTCTGTGTCTGCGTGTGTGCAGCTGTGTGTACATGCGCACAGGTGTGGGTGTGTCTGTGTGCACACGCTGTCTTGGGCATGGTGAGCATGGGCACAGATGAAGGGACGAGCCCCACCCTATCAGGCTGTGGTTTGGAGGGGAAGCTTCGAGGTGGGAGGGTAGACAGCCGTGGCTGGGGTGGGAAAGCAGCTGATCTTGCTCCGGGAGACCCCACCTGAGCCCCGAGCCAGGCAGGCACTGTCCTCTCTGCTCAGGCAGAGCTTACATGGGGACAGTACTGGCACTGGAGGGAGAGACACCCCTCAGGGGACAGGGCAGCTGGGGAGGGCTGGCACTCACCCCAAATGCCCCTTGCTCTCTGCCGCCCTGCCCTCAGGGTGGCCCAGCTGCACACTTGCACTCCTGGGCACCTGCCTTGGGGTCTGGGGTCTCAGCAGAACCTCCCTAGGGGGAGCCTCCCCCCACCCCACCACGTGGGTTCTGCCCTGATGCAGACCTGAGAGCTTGGCCCTGCTGCCTGCGGCTGGACTCCGATGCCCACAGGCCCTTTCTATGCCAACTTCTCTCCCCTCTTCCTTCCCTGCAGGCTGGAGCCAGGTGGGCAGTAGAGGCACGGCCATCCCCACACGCTGGGCAGCGTAGCCAGGTGCAGGGCACCATGGAGACCTTCATGGAGTCGCTAAACAAGCTGAAGGACACCCACGAGAAGGAGGTCCTGGGTGAGTGCTGGGGGTTGAGGACCAATGGTTCTGATGGCCTAGGGCAGGCCAGGGAGCTCCTGTGTGTCACCTCCAATTCTCAACAAAGACAGGGACCCCATTTTTGTAGGAAGGGGACCTGAGCTGCAAGGTGGCTAGATGGCCAGGCTGTACCCAGACTCAGCGGACAGTGCTCCCCTCCCCTCACACAGGGTGTGTGAAGACTGCAGCCCCAGAGTGGGTGCATTTGAGGGTAACCACCAACACCCCGTGGTCACCCCCAGCCCACCCTCCAATTGCATCCATGCTGTGTTGTCCCAGAAGGCCACCCAAATGGAGCTGTGTGGGGTGGCACATACCTGTAATCCCAACTCAGGAAGCTGAGGCAGGAGAATCGCAAATTCAAAGTCAGCCTGGACAACACAGCAAGAACCTGTCTCAAAAAAACACCAGGGCCGGGGATTTAGCTCAGTGGTTCCACCGCCTGCCTCACAAGCGCAAGGACCCAAGTTCTTCCCCCAGTACCAAAAAAAAAAAAAACAGCCCCCACCAAGACCCTTGAAAAGCTCTGCTTCAGTGGCCCCTCACCCAGAACTGGGCCTCAGTGCCTCTCAGAGGCAAGGGTGTCCACTTCAAAGGACAGAGTGTGTGCTTCCCAAGGCCTGTCGGGAGCATTCCAGAAGGCCGAGCTGAAACTCTTCTGGTCCCTCCAGGTCATGCCCCAGGCCCTGCACTCCTGCCTAGTTCCCCACCAGTCAGGGATGCACCTCCTCCCCATCCCCCTGCAGTGCCAGCCCCCGCCCAAGGCCTTCCACAGAGTGCCCAAGGGGCTGGTTATTTCCTGAGCACCCGAGAGGCAGGGCTGCTTGGGCAAGACCCCCATCCATAATGGATGACAAAGCTATAACAAGCCAGGCATGATGGCGCCCGCCTGCAATCCCAGCTCTCCGGGATGCCAAGACAGGAAGATTACATGTTTGAGCCCGGCCTGGGTAACTCAGCAAGACCCTGTCTCAGAACTTTTTTAAATGGGAGGAGGGAGGGCTGGGAACTTAGCTTAGTGCAAAGGCTCGTGGTTCAATCCCCAGGACTGCAAAAAACAAAGATATGTCGAAAGGGGGTCTTATAAGATCTCCCCCAAAAGCTGCTGATTTCTCTTTAGCATCTCCCAAAACACAGCTCCTCTTGGCTCCTGCGCCCTGGCAGCCCCTTTCAGCACTCGGGGAGCTAAGCCCAAGCACCCCAGCAGGCATAGACAGGAAGCCCTCCCAGAGGGGCAGGCAGGTGGTCGGGGGTCCAAAAAGGACCCAACATGACAGTCATCGACAGAAGACGATAGCTCATGGTTCCGCCCAAACCCTGCTGCAGGGCGCTGCCTGGAGGGCCAGCAGGGCTGGGCCTGACCTCCCTCCCTCTGTCCCCCACCAGGCCTGCAGAACAAGCTTCTGGAACTGAACTCTGAGAGGTGCCGGTGAGTCAGCCGCTCAGAACTCCCCCCGATGCCCCAGGGCGCAGTTGCTGCTGTCCCAGGGAAAGAAGGGAAACTGAGACTCAGTGTGGGGTGGGGTGAGTCACTGGCCAAGGTCACACAGCTCACAGGTGGTGGAGACAGGCCTGGACCCCGGGGGTGCTGGCCTCCAGGGGCCGGGCAAGCCCCTGCGCTCACTGTGAGGCTGTGACAGACCCTGGCTTGCCGCTTCCCGGAGACAGGCAGCCTGTGCGGCAGGCTCCCAAGGCCCACGGCTGACCATGCTGCAGCCCACCCTCACGGGGAGGAGCTCCGTCCTCAGTGGCAGTCCCACCTCGGCTGTTTCCCGAACAGGGATGCCCAGCGGGTGGAGGAGCTCTTCGCCAAGAACCACCAGCTGAGGGAGCAGCAGAAGGCGCTGAAGGAGAACCTGCGGGTGCTGGAGAACAGGTGAGCGGGCCCCAGTGAGAACCGTGCCAGGCAGGCCTTTCCACTCCAGGACTCCTCAAGGCCTTTGGTGAACTGCCTCCCAAGACTCCTTCCCCAGCTCCATTAGCGGGGACACCAGGCCACAGGATGGGGATGGCCCGGGCCCACAAAACACAGTCTGGCGTCCTGGCAGCAGCAGTGAGGGGCTGCAGCCTCCCCTCAGGGTGGCCTCTCGCTCCTTTGCCCACAGACTTCGGGCCGGCCTGTGCGACCGCTGCATGGTCACCCAGGAAGTGGCCAGGAAGAGGCAGCTGGAGTTCGAGAGCTCCCACCTGCAGAGCCTGCAGCGCATCTGTGTCCTCAGTAAGTCCGCCACAGCCCCATGTGCCCCACATGGCCAGTGACTCCCAGGCTGTCCAGCTTTACTTGCAGCCGTGGGCAGCCCTGCACTGCGGGTGCTCCACGCCGCCGTTCTCAGACTAATGGTACGCAGCCCTGCTGCCTGTGTCTCCCCAACAGGCTGGGAATGGAACTGTATCCCTGCCCTCCCAGGGCCTTGTCCTCCTTCTCCCAGTGATGAGGGGTTCCAAAGAGCTCCGAGGCTCACTGGGACCCCTAGCAAAAAGCCTGGGGTTGGGGGTCCCTTCTTATTCAATAACATCCGACTGTCTGCTCTTGCAGTGAGCATTCATGGGGCATCTACTATATTACAAGCCCTGGGCTAAGTACAGGGAGCCATGGATGGAAGTGAGATAGGGGTCCCAGATGTGAGAGCCCCACCCTGCCCTCGGTCCCTCCTCCCTGGCTGTTCCACTCATGACTGCCTTTTGCAGCCAACGAGATGACCAAATTAAAGGAGGAGAACAAGATGTTGAAGGAGGAGGTGAAGCGGCTATGTGGCCTGGAGTGAGTGGGCAAAGGCACCGGCCCCTACCCCAATTCCCCACCCCACCCACACCAGATCCCATGCAAGTCCAGGGGAAGTGCTGGTGGGGGAAGCACAGGTGGGCTGCGCCTTCCTGGTCACGGGGCTGCCACCCCTCAGCCCCCTTGCTTTGCCTCCAGAGACAAGCCGGCACCCCCAGCCAGGGAAGGTACCTTGGAGCGCCCCTCACCCCTGCTGCTCCCCTCCCCCGGCGGCCGGAAGGCTGTCACCGAGAAGCCACACGGAGGCCATGAAGAGGCTGAGGAGGAGCAGCAGGCCACAGCTTCTCCAGGAGAAGGTGCGTGGGGCAGAGGACGGGCCAGGGCTGAGCCACCCGTCTTGAGGGTCTCCCGAGCTCCTTGCCACTGCTTCTCCTCCTACAGACAAGTCCGCGGGCTACAGGACATCTCCAGTGGTCAACCCGCCCGAGTCCCGGGCCCCAGACATGGTGAGCCTTCAGCTGACACGGGAGGCTTGGGCACAGTGGACAAGGCCAAGGGCCGCAACCGCCCAGCCACACTGACCCGCCTGCCCTGCACAGAGTCCCCAGCGCATCTCCAACCAGCTGCACGCCACTGTCGCTGTGGTGCGGCCTGGGTCTCGGGCCTGCCTGGCGGACCGCGGCTCCTCCGACCGGACATCTCCACCCACCAGGAGCACCCCGTCCAGTCCAGTGTACGAGCACAGCCTCCCTCTGGACAGGTGAGCCCTCCGCCCCACGCTGTGGTGGGAGACCACCAGCCCGGAGTCCCCTTTTCATCTCTCCTGAACTCCGCCTTTTCTCTGGCTTGGTTTTCCTGGGCATCTTGCCTGCCACAGAGCTCCCACATGGACATCTCCTGAGTGACCAGGCTCAGGGGCATGGCGGGAAGAGATGGTCAGGCTTGGAAAGGCCGCTCCGAAGGCCCATGCCAAGCTCTCACCTCATGGTCTGAGAGAGGGAATGGGCAGGTGGGCCCCACCCTCCAGGCGACTCCTATGAGCTGAATATCCCACCGGGAAAAAGTGCAGGAGTCAATGTCCAGGCCCAGACACCCATGGCCAAGAGTACCACCCTGCAGCCGAGGGGCTGAGAGCCCACCTCTCCCATGCTGACCTGGGGTGACCTTGGTGACTTTGAGTGGCCTGCCTCACTCTCTGGGCCTCAGTTTACTCACCTGTGAAATGAGGACCCTACTGCTTCCCTTTTGTAAGGGTTCCTCATTGAGTTTCTTCTCCCTTCAGCTTCCTGCGGGCTTCCGGGCCTGCAGTCCGGGCCTATGAGTCCCTGAAGCGGCCCCTTCAGACCGACCACTTCTGTCTCCTGGACCGCCATCTGTCCCTGCACCTCCAGAGCCCACACAACAGCCCCCCAGCCCTAGCCCCAGCCCCCCACAGCCCCCAGCCCTGGGTCCTGAAGGCAGGGGAGGCCTGGGAGGAGCCCGTGGGCCTGCTGGGCCTGCCTGGCGCCCTGGTGGGCATGCAGGACCCCCGGCTAGAGGGGGTGCTACACCTGCTCCTGGCTCAGCGGCAGCTGTGTGCGCGGGCACGGGCGGGCAGTGACACACTGAGGGGTCCGCCCCCCATGGGGGGGACTCCGCCCTCCCCGCCAGTCGGCTGGGACTCTGACAGTCCTGAGCATGAGGTGCTCGGGGCAGCCCTGACCACAGCAGCCCTGCCTGGTGGGCGGCACCCACAGACCGCTGGCAGCTCCCCTCAGAAGGAGGCAGGGGCCACTCAAGACTATGCCCCAGACAAGCCCCTGGACCTCTCAGACCCGGGCCGCAGCAAGGACGCCCCCAAGTCTGCCAGCCAAGCTGAGTCCCTCAGCTCCAAACTCGCCTGCCCTCTCAGCCCTGAGCCGCTGACTCTGTCCCGCGCCCTGACTCACAGCCCCCCAACACTCAGCAATGGCACCCAAGGACCCACAGAGCCAGAGCCGGAGGGGTCTCCCACTCCCACGGTAAGGGGCCCAGGGCTGCCCACAGCCCAGGGCCTGACCTCGGCCTCCATGACCGCCACTGCAGTCCAGCCTCCCCTCAGCCTTGGACTGCCCTCCTGTGCCAACCCAAAGTCAGTACCAGGAGTGCCCTGGCCACTCATTTGCACAGGGCTGACCTCCGGCCACAGCCCAGGTGTGGACTTGCGGGCTGCATCCACCCAGGGCTGACCACCCCGGCCTCCTTCTGCCTCCCCCAGGGCCCCTCACCGCCTCTCCCAGGGCCCCCCCTCAGCCTGCTCACTGCCATTGGGACCAGATGTGAAGCCAGAGGGAGGTCAAGGCCAGCACCCCACCCACAGGGCCCCAAGGCTGCTGGGCCCCCAGGTACAGTGAGTCTGCAGGGCCACCAGGGACCAGCGGGAAATGGTGCCGCAGGGGAAGGGAGGGCAGCGCCCCGGCTTGGTGGCCCTGGGCCTGGGGTGTGTTTCCTCTACTGCAGACTGAAAGGAGCTGAGGGCCAGGCAGACGTTCCCAGCACATTCAGTGTTGGGAAGGGCATCGGTCCGAGAGCTGGTAGTGGCCAGCCTGGGGGAGGGCATCCCAGTAGGCAGGGCCCTCACGCAGGGCCAGCGGAGGCCCGGCCTGGTCCAGATCCCAGCTGTGCCTGGGGCAAGTTACCTGGCTCTGCAGAACTGTTCCTATCCTAGTTAGACGGGCTCAGGTGGCTCCAGAGCCACCACCCTGGCTGACCCTCCCCTGTGTCTTTCAGAGCCCAGCAAGGCTGGAGCGCACAGCCTAGGGTCGGGGGAACTGGAGGAGTCTGACACATCCAACAGTGAGGTGGGCCCACAGCCACATGCTGGGGGAGGTGGCGCTGCCCAGGCTGCCAGGGCTGCCCCTTGTCCTGAATGTACCCCTTCTGCCCAGGTGGACCGAAGCTCCGAAACAGGGGCCAAACTGAGCATGCCAGGGGAGGAACACAGGCGCTTCTGCCCCCAGAAGCCCCAGCAGGGTTTGCAGCAGAAGAGGAAGCAGACCTTGGACCTGGCAAGCAGAGGTACCTCTGAAAGGCCAGGTGGGGAGGCAGGGGTGTGGCCTTTCCCAGCCACTGAGAGAGTAGCATCCCAGGCCAGAAGCCCTGGACCTCTCCAGCACCAGGCCCTAAGAGCAGGGACTGGGGGTGGCCTCGCTGAGTTCTGACTGCACTGTGTATCTATCCTGAGCCTGTTTCCCTGCCTGTTCTTAGGGGACTAATACTAGGTCCCAAGCAGAGAGCAGGGGACAGTTATCACCATCCTCAGAAATGAGGAGCACCCTGGTCCACAAGCAGCCTCCTCCCCACCCCGGGCTTGGCACCCGACTCTCATGCCCACCTTCAGCCAGGAGAAGCAACAGAGAGATGCCTGTTGGGCCCGAGGTGTCTCTCCCCACTGGGGCTGCTCTCTTGTTTGCCCAAGGCAGTGCCCTGGGGTTCAGCTCCTCCCGATAAGGCGGGCAGGAGCCTCAGCCCTGGTACCGGGATATCAGGACAACTTTCCACTTCCTGCTCTGGGCACAATGGCTGAGCCTTTGAACACCTAAGCTCATAATCATGTGGCCCTGGTGTTTGCCCAGGCAGGGCCTACAGTTCAGCAGGCTGGGCTGTGGCCACCACAATGCGCCATTGTTGCCGTGGCCTGTGTTTGCTTGAGTGGAGAAGACCAGCACACTTGTCTTGTTCCCAAGTGTTTCCTGCAGGGAGCGTGCAGGTGGGGAGCCATCCACAGGGTGTGGGGGGTCACCTCCCTCCAGCCCGACTCCCAGCTAGGCCAGGGTAGGGGAAGCTGGTAGGGGCTCCGAGCAGGCCCCAGGCACCCCTGGGGCAGCACTCCATGCTCTCAAAACACCTGCCTGGCAGTCAGTAGGACAGGCCCTGCCCTGTACACTGGGCACCCACCCTGCTGGACAGGGTGCTGCCCAGCCCAGTGCTAGGGCCAAATGCCTGTATCTTGTTCCTCGGAGAATAAGAAGGGCATGTATCGCTTGCTGCCTTGTGACCGCCTGACCCTGCCCAGCAAGTAGGATTGCCACTGTTTCACAGGCTGGGAAACTGAGGCTCAGAGCTGAGGTCCAAGGTCACAGGTCTGGTGCATGGTGTCCAGGGTCAAAGCTGACTGCACCCTGCGCCTTGGCAGGGCCCAGACGCCCCTCCCCTCTGGTCTCAGCCACACAGTCGACCTCACAGGGGCTTGGCCTCGGGTCACTCATGAGCTCAGGGTCACCAGGCCTGTTCCGGGCCCTCCACAAGGCAGTGATCGGGCTCAGGGACCTCACTTCCAGGGCCACACGTGTGGGGACACGAGCCACCCTCCACCAGATTCTCAGATTCTCGTGGTTCCCCCTTCCCAGGCCGCCCCTGCTCCCAGCATCCTTGCTGTTAGAACCAGGTGGCCATAGCTGCCCTCAACACCCTCAGTGAGAGCCAGTGTCACCTTGAGAGTGACACACCAGGCCACCAGCAGCACTGCCACACCTCTGCCCAACTTCTTTTCACTTCCCACAGGCTCCAAGAAGCTGTGCCGAGGGAGAAGGAAAGCAAGGGAGCTTATGATAGCTGCCGAGGGGCCCAACAGCCCAAGGGACACCAAGGACTGCAGCCCCTCGCCTGGCAACAGCAGCCCTGAGGAGACCTAGCCAGGCCAGTCCAGGCAGCTCTCCACCCGCCAGCAGATGCCACACCACCGGGGGTGGCCCGCATCCAGAGTGGTCCTGGAAGCTCCACCCTCTCAGAAAAGCCCTGCCAGCCCCATCCCTAGACCAGCATCCGCGCCTTGGGGGAGCGGTCGGGGAGTGGGCAGCAGGAACTGCTCCTGTCCAAGCCATGTGCTGCCCTTCCCCCGCAGGACCCACACCTCCTGGACGTACTGGACCGGCCTTCGGGAGCACAGAGGGCTGACCCTCCCCGCCACCCCCGGGCTCCAGTTAGTGGCAGCAGTCTGGGGCGCCCCCTCGTGGAGTCCAGGCAAACAGGCATCTAGCAATGCTGGTGGAGAGAGGCCACGTGTCCTCCCGGACGGGGGTCCGTGAAGAGCATGGAGAATGAACACAAGGTGCTGACGTGTGCTGTTGACAGGGCTGAGATCAGCCGCCTCCACTACCCCAGCAAGTGACGCCTGGAGGGCAGAAATCCTGGTGGCACAGCACGTGCACCTGCCCTGGCAGAGCCCTCCTCACCAACATGATCCTGAGCCCGGGCCTGTGCCAGCCGGTGGTGCAGCCCCAAGGCAGCACCCCTGGGACCCACCAGTGGCACCCAAGGGTGCCCTGTTGTTTTAGGAGGACACTTCTCAGGGCCTCTGCAGTCTGCCAGAAGAGCTTAAGAATCAGAGGCCCAGGCCCCACTGAACCAGGACCTGTAGGTGTTTGAAGCAGCACCCACAAGTGACCCCCTGCACATGAAGTCTGAAAGCTACCCCTTCTCAGGCAGAGATGGCACTAAGACCTCAGCTGGTCATCAGAGAGCTGGTGAGCAAGCAGAAGGGTCAGCATCCAACAGGGGAGGGCACGATGAGAAGAGAAACTGTCCCCGTGGGAACCAAGGAAGGTGGTGTTGGAAATTCAAACTTGGGTTTTAAGAGATAATAGCATGGAGCTGGGGATTTAGCTCAGTGGTGCTGCCTGCCTCGCAAGCACAAGGTCCCAAGTTCGATCCCCGGTACCGAAAAAAAGAGAGAGAGAGATAATAGCATGTCAAGTAGGCAAAAGGCAAATGAAATGTAGGAAGTTTGCTGAAATTGGAACACTAGGAAAGTGAACAGTCAGGAAAAGGCAGGGAGGCACAGTGTGGAGGTGTGCCTCTGTGATCCGGGTGCTCTGGGAGGCTGCTGCAGCGAGCAGTCTGGATGACTTGGTGACCTAGCCAGACCCTGTCTCAAAGGACAAAAGGGCCAGGGACATAGGTGAGCAGGGTTCAACCCCCAGTACCACAGACAAAAGGGGGGCGATGGAGGATGTCAGGAGGACAGGGGTGCCAGCAGAGGGCACAACTAGGAAACTCCCTGCTTTGCCCTCAGAGCATCCAGACAGGGCCCTGGTAAAAGGCCAGGGGAAAGAGGGCCAGGGATTTATCTCCGTGGCTCCTCGCCTGCCTGGCAAGCCTAAAGTCTTGAGTTCAATCCCCAGCACCCCAAATAAACAAAACAAAAAGGCCAGGGGAAGGGTCAAAGAAAACAGGACCACACCTGGGGGACAAGGGGGACAGGGCTGGTCAAGCTCAGGCAGGAGGGCCCGCAGGGTCAGCAGGAGTCTGCAATTCATGCCAGTGGGGTAGCAGGACATGGGGCATGGTGAGGTCCCCCTTGCTGACCACAACCTGCCTACCTGCTGGCCTGAGAAGCCAGAGGGCCCCATCCGAAACGGGATGTGTGTGTGTGTGTCCCAGCTGTAAGGTTGTTTTGACTGTTCCAGAATGAAATAAAACATGAGCTGTGTGCTCCACTCACTCTGATCTCTGTCCAGCTTGGGCCTTTGCTCACCCACTGTCCCCTGGGGTGGGGTGGGGAGCAGGCAAGGGGTAAAGCGACCCAGAAAGAAACCCACCTTCCTGCCTCGGTGTCCCTCCAGTGCCTCACAGCACAGCAGTGCCAGCAGGTATCAAAGGCGGCCCAGTATGTCCCCTCTGCCAGCAGGCTGTGGTGGGTGTGGTCTCGGCACCCCACCCCGCTGCTCCCCTCCTGGACACCAGCTTATTGTCCACTCCCCATCAGGGCCTCCTGTGACAGCAGCAAGGGTTGAGGACCCATGCGCCGCCCGGGCTCTGCACTCACAGGACAGGTTCAAAGCAGCTTGGGGAGGCTGTCACTCCTGTGAGGTCCCCACCAACCCCAGCAGCATCTGCTAGTGGAACCTAAGTCTCCAGCCCACAGATGTGGCCTCTCCTGAGAGGGCTGACACTGGATTCCAAAATGTGCAGCTCCTCCAGCCCAAAAATACATGCCCCGGGGGTGCCCACCACACACTCTGCCACAAGGGAAGCTGCCTACCCTCCCTCCTGAGCCTGCCAAGGCCCGGAGGACAATTTGGAAGGGCAGGGTCTGACAGAGCCAGGAGCGAAGGGACGCAAGCCCCATCCTGGCCTCTGAATGAGGGCACCAGCCCTGCACCCAGCTCAGGGTGACTGCATACGCCCATGTGCTGGGCTCCCCGGCCACCCTCTGTCCCCTCCTCAGCCAGTTTCATCCTGATGGCACTGAGGTCCCCCTTTAAATATAACCCCAAGGCCAGGCATGGTGACACACGCCTGTAGCCCCAGCACTAGGAAGGCTGAGGCAGAAGGATCACCATGAGTTCAAGGCCAGCCTGGGCTACAGAGCGAGTTCAGGGCCAGCCTGAACTACAAAGGGAGACCCTGCCTCAAAAAACAAAAAAAGGGCTGGGGATTTAGCTCACTGGTTCTGCCGCCTACCTCGCAAGCTCAAGGTCCCGAGTTCGATCCCCAGTACCAAAAATAAATAAATTAATTAAATTAAAAGTTTTAAAAATGAAGATAACCCTGGGACTTGAGCGCGAAGTGCAGGATCTGCAGAGCGAAGTGCACGGCTCAAGACACTGCTGCGGGGCCTGGTCGTCACTGCGGGCAGCAGGCTTCTGCCCACTGACACCCGGGCTCTTCTTTAGGCAGGGAGGAGGACCGGTGGCTCCGCGGGGCTCCGCGGGGCCCGGCCCTGTGCACACGGAAGCGCCGGGGCGGAAGGCAGAGAGGAAGCTCAGCCCGTCGGGCACACAGACTGGATGGGGAAGTGGAGCGGCGCCTGGCCCACGCCCCGGGTTCGCCGCGGCCAGCAGGAAACGGGGAGCTGGCGCCTCTCAGTCTCAGACACCGAGGCAGAGACTCGAACCTGTGGTACCGCCCGGCCCGGGCAATTGCAGCTCTGCTCCTCCCCCGGACACGCTTAGAAAGTCTCTAGGACCCAGGGGAGCGCCGTGGTAAGTCGCTCGCGGTGGCGCCGCGCCAACCAATTAGCGGGCGCGAAGGAGATATATTTGCATGAGGGCGCGCCGCAGCCAATGGGCGGGCGCGAAGGCGACATATTTGCATGTGGGCGCGGCGCGACCAATGGGCGGCAGCTCGGCGACGCGGCCGCGGCGGCGCACTCGAGCATGGCCGCGGCTGCGGCGGGAGGAGCTCCGGGCCCGACCCCCGGCCCCGCCAGGCCCGCGCCCAGTGCCCGCAACCCGCCGGCCGCGTCGCGGAGGCGCGGGGACTCGCGGCGCCGCCAAGCCGCTCTCTTCTTCCTCAATAACATCTCCCTGGACGGACGGCCCCTCAGCCTGGGCCCCGGCGGTGAGAAGCCCCCGCCGCCGCCTGACGAGGCCCGTGAGCCGCCCGCGCCGCCGCCCGTGCCCCCCGCCGGCCTCCCCGGGCTGAGCGCCAGGCCCGCGCCCCAGGGCCTGCTCAGCCCCACAGCGGCCCCCTCCGGCCTCGGCCTGGATGGGCAGCGCCAGAGGTGAGTGGGCCGGGGGCGGGCTCGGGATCCAGGCAGCCGGGGCCACCAGCCCAGCCGGATGCAGGTGTGGGTGACCCGGCCCCAACAGCCAGAACGCAGGTGTGGGTGACCGGGCCCCAACAGCCAGGATGCAGGTGTGGGTGACCTGGGGTACATTCGCCTAGGACACAGCAGCCACAACAAAGGGGTAAGCAAGCCCAGGATGGAGGCGTCAGGGTTACCTTGGGCGTACCAGCCCACAACTCAGGTCAGGGTGACCTGGGGCACTCAGCCTCCAGGACTCAGGGATTGGGATGGTCCAGGACTGTCGGTGCATACGGGGGTCAAAGTTGGGTGTTCTGCGGCCCTCCAGCCTAAGTCACAGGGGTTGGGATGTCTGGGGCCAATAGTCCAAAAACAGGGGACAGAATTGGGATAACCTGGGCTTTTTTCAGTGCCTAGGCATGGAGGTCATTGTCCCCTTAATGCTGTCAGCTCCTGAATGTGGGGTCAGGGTCTTCTCTTGGGAATTCCCTGAACTTGATCCAGGGTGCTGTTGGCTCTGGACATGCTCCCTCCCCCACCGGCTTTGTCAGTGCCCTGGATGCAAGGACTCCAACCTCTCTTATGTGCCCCGTGCACATCTACCTTCCGGTGACCCAGCCTGTGGACCGGGGTCCTCCTCACAGTGCTCATCTATTCTCAGAGCCTTCAGCACCCAGCCAGACCTCACTGCCCACCATCCCACAGCTGCTGGGCTCTGCCCCTGCCACCTCTGAGTCCAGCGTCTGCACGATTACCCTGGCCTGGTTTCATTTCTTGGCACCCCCAGCCCTCTCAGCGGTCTTCCTCCCATGTGCTGTGTGTCCTTGCAGCAAATGCTGTGCCGCAGGTGACCCTGGGTCCACTCCTGTGCCCTGCTGCCCTTTCCTGAGGAGTGACTGCAGGAGCCAGGCCTGACTGTGGGGTCCCCTCAGCCAGGCTGCTCCTTGGCTCTGTGCTGCGTGCAGGGGTCTGGCATGGAGGACTCTTCATTCCTGGAGGTCCTCGAGCCGCCTCTGCTGCTCACGGTGAAGCGGTTCCTCTGAGGTCTGACTGGGGCACCTCCACCGTGTTTCTCACTGTCCGTGGTGCGCCTGCACTCGCCAAGGTTACCACCCCAGCCGGGAAGTGGGCGTGTTTCCAGCTGTGGCCAGGCTGAGAGGGTGCCTGTCTGCCTGAGCCTTTCCATCAGATTCTCACCCACAGACTGGCCTGGCTGCTGCTCCAGGAACAGTCAGAGTAGCCTCCGGGGGCCAAGGGATCAGTTTGCCCTGAATGTAGCAGCTAGGCACCCAGCATTTGGTGTGCCCAGCCCCTTCTTGAAGAGCAAGGACAGGGCTGCCAAGTTCATGGCTCTATTCTGATATCAAGGAGTCACTGCCTCTCCGGCAATGGGCAGCAGGCTCCAAGGATGAGGACCATCCACTCTCTCTGCTCCCAGGCCTATCACTAAGCAAGGGAGGGGCTGCCCTGCAAAGGGAGCTTCTGGCTACAGGCTTTAGGATTCCAGGATTCATTGCTTTTAGGAAGTGAGGAGAATATGAAGTGCTGGAGGTAGCCCCTGAAGTGTTGGTCATGAACATGGTGTTCCAGCCCAGCTGTGGAGCACACCTGGGTTCAAATCCTAGCCCTGCCACCCAGTGGCTCTGTGACCTTGAGCACCCTCTCAAGCTCCAGTCTCCTCCCGGGACAGGTTCACACGAAGCCCTGCCGCCCTGAGGTCGGGGGAACGCCAAGGGCTCAGCAGGGTGCATGACAGCATGAGAGAGATGAGAGCCAGGTCACCAGGGAGCGGTCACATCACAGTCTGGGGTGGATTTGTATGGACATGTAGGGCTCATAGTGTTTTCTGCAAAGCTAATGAGAGAAACATTGAAAGCTTTGTTTTCTTCATAGAACTTGTTTATTTTCATGGTGCACTGATTAAAGTCCAAAAGCAAGCTGGAGCTCTGGGCTCCCCAGGCTGAGCTTGGAGCAGGTGTTCTGAAGCCTGGCTGGCAGATGCCACGCTGCTCACTGCATCCTTTGTGCCGCATCTTCTGCCGGGTAGGCCTGCCATAGTCTCATGGGGCCGCTGTGACAAAGGACCACAAACCAGGCAGTGTACAGCAGCAGCAGTTTGCTCTCCCCCAGTCTGGTGGACAAAGCTCCAGTGTCAGGCATGGGGAGAGCCACATTGTGGGGTCCTTCCTGCCTTTTCCAGCTCTGGGTAGCTCAGGCATCCCTTGGTTTGTGGCTGTGTTGCTCCGGTCTCTGCCTCTGTCTCCACATGCTGTTCCTCCCTGGGTGTCTGTCTTCATGGCCTTCTCTTCTTAGAAGGACCCAGTCATTGTCTTCATCTTTATTGATCACATTTGCTGAGACCCTGTTTCCAGCTAAGGGCCTGTCCACAGGCACCAGGGGTTGGGACTTCCGGATCTTGGGGCTGAGCACAGTTCAAACCACAACAGCCCTAGCCAGTGTCCCCGGGACTGGGAAGGAGATAGATGGCTTTCTGCACATTGCAAGGAGCTGGGTGGCTATGAGGCAAGGCCATGGCTGTGCTGTGGGGGAGCAGGCCTTCCCCACCCGGAGGAGCCTGCTCTCAGCCAGGTCCCACTTAGCAGCCAGTGCCTGCCAGCTTAAACCCATTTCAGTCCAGCATCTGGCAATTTGTTTTCAGCCCTGATGGAGAGTGGCCTTCTCTCCAGCTGGGAAACAGCAGGGAGTGGTTCGCTGAGGCTGGGGCCCAGAGGTACATGTCCCCATGGCAACCCAGCGGCCTGGCCAGGACCAGGACCTGGCCACCGGGCCCTTCCCTGCCCTGGGACCCCAGTTGGGTCCTCACACTGTGTGAAGCGGCCCTGCTGGGAGTGAGGGAATCGAGGGCTCTGGCTTTGCCTGGAACTCCGGGAGCCCATGCCCAAGAGGAGGAGTGTGCCACTGTGCCAGGCACGATGCTCACACCAGGAGATGGAACAGCGGGCTGGCCGGACAAGCCCACTGCCCACCTTCCTGGCAGGGGAGGCACACGTGTGCAGGTATCAGCGCGGAGCATGCAGGCTCACAGCCGGACAAGTATGGCCACGTGGTGGAGGGGCTACCCGCTCTTACCAGTGTTTCAGCACCTTCTGAGTCCAGCCCCAGCCTGTGCGGCCCCTTCGCTGTCTGGGTTCCTAATGGTGACGTGGTCTTCAGCCTCAGAGAGGAGCCTGCCCCAACCTGCCCCGTGTAGAGACCAGAAGGTGAAGAAGCGGAGATAATTAGCAAGCCAGGTGCGGCGTGTAAGGCACAGTGGGTCTGCCCGGTCTGGGAGCGCCTTTGGGTTGGTCCCCTTTATTAAGGGCGGTTCTGAGAGTACTCTGGGTCACGGAGCTCCTGACCTCTTCCCAAAACTCAGACGCAAGCAGAACCGGGCCTGTCACTGCGGCGCAGGGAGCTGGAGCGGACACGGCCAGAGTTCTGAGGCATCCTAGGGCTCGGCAGAACTTGGACTCGCCGGAACACCCGGCGGACGGCGCTCCGATTGTTGGCTGAGGTCGCACAAAGGCCGAACTTTTTCTTTGGGTTTGTTTGCCTTTAGCGCTTTTCAGTCCAGGTGTCGGATGCGCATGTTCAGGCGGAAGAGCGTGAAGAGCGTGAGCAGAGCGTGAGCGCAGCCCCACGCATTCCCACGGCCTCGTAGGAGGACGCGCGGAAGGCCCAGTCGGGTCAGCTCCTCCGGGGGGCCAGCGCAGGCCACGCCCTGAGGACTGAGCTCGCGAATGAAAGCGGAGGGGGAGAGAGAGAAAAATCACAAAGGAAAAGAACTGTGGAACCAGCTGGGAACAGATTTTCAAAGCTGCCCAGAAGGACAAGTGTTCTCTAGAGAAACAGAAAATCGCAGGAGAAGCCAGACCGCAGAGGTCGGCCTCTGCCTGCACCTCCTCCTCAGGCCGCCACGGGGCCCTGGCTGCCGGCGCCGCCTCTGTGGGCCCACAAATGAGGCCCCAGGTGTGCGTGCGGGGAGTAATGACCCGAGGGAGTGAGCCGTGAGAGCCACCGGGGCGGAGCCAGGGAGCCAAGCCACTGCTCCCCGGGACGGTGCCCACGTGTCCCGCCCCCAGCAGCTGCTTTGTTCCCGACCTCCAGGCCTGCATCGAGCACTGACCATGGTGGGCATCGGCTTGGAGCAGGCCCTGTCTGCCCTCGCTGGCACAAGTCAGGGCTCACCTGGTGCCAGGTGCCCCAGGCTCTCTGGGTGTCTACCTGAGACACACCACCTGTGGCCAGGCCCGGTGTCTGGCCACCCTCTGCGGCCTGGGCTGGCGGGTACCCTGCCCCACCACTAGCTGGGGTGGTGAGTGAGGCCCAGCCTAGAGCCAGTGAGAGGCACCCTGCGTTTTCCTGGATTTACATCTGTTTTCCATCCCAGTTTGTTTCCAGCAAGCTCCTGATCTTTATCATTTAAAAGACTTAAATTACTGGGTAAAAAAGGGAACATGCCAGGGCGTGGTGGTGCACACCTGTTATCCCAGCACTCAGAGGCTGAGACAGGAGGATTGCCATGAGGTCAAGGCCAGCCTGGGCTACATAGTGAGATCCTGTCTCAGAAAAACAAACAAACAAAAAAGGAAATCTTAGGGTTTGGATCAAGGTGACTTGGAACTGACCAGATCTCAAACTGACCTAGCTGTGTGACCATGCACAAGTACAGAGCCTCTCTGTGCCCTACTGGGCGGGTGTGAGTGATGCTGCGGCCTGGGGAGTGTTGATGGGGGGGGGCGCTCATCCCCAGACCTGCAGGGCTCCCCAGGTAAATGCTGGCCTTAGTGGGCAGGGCAGGGGGAGGGCTGGGTGTGAGGAAGCTGGCTGGCAGCCCTGCCCTCAGTGAGGAGCTTTCCTCTCCCTGCCCAGGACCTGGAACCTGGCTCACGTTGGTGACAGGGCTCCCGCTGACAGACTGAGCTTGTCCCAGGCCACTCGGCTCAGAAGCCGCAGAGCCAGAGCGACCTGGCTCTCGGGCGCACCCGGCAGCTGTCAGTGGACACGTCTCCCAGACCAACTCTGCTCTGTGTGTCCGCTTTTTGTTTCTTCTCCCCCTCCTCGTGCCCCTCTTTCTCCTCTTCTTCCTCCTCCTTTTTCTTCTTTTTCTTTTTCTTTTTTTTTTTTCCAGTAATAGGGATTGAACCCAGACCAGGGCCTTAGCACTGAGCTACATCCATAGCCCTTTTTCATTTCTGAGACAAGGTCTCGCTGAGTTGCCCAGGCTTGGCTTGAACTTCCATCCTCCTGCCCCAGCCTCCCAGAGTGCTAGCATCGTTAATACCCTGGGCTGTATTGCTTGATAGGTGCTCAGAGCCATTCTGAAGCCTGAGCAGATAACAGACTCACTTTGGATCACATCACTGCCTGTGTGCTGCCTGACTTTGCCATGTCACATTTGCCCCTGGTTTCTCCAGCCTGGGCAGCCGTCACAAAGTACCTGGGCCGGGTGGCTTGAACAACAGGCATTTATTTCTCACATTCTTGAGACTGGAAGCCAGGGTCAGGGCGAGGGCAGGCTCCGTTCTTTGGGCCCTCCCTTGGTGTGTAGCACCTCTCAGCCCTGTCTTCACAGCATCCTCTCTGTGCGTCTTTGTCCTAATCTCTTCTTATAGGGACACCAGTCACCCTGGGTTAGGGCGGACGCCAGTGACCTGTAAATACATGCAGTGGCACACATCTCTAATCCCAACACTCAGGAAGGCGAGGCATGAGGATCGGAAGTTCAAGGCCAGCCTGGGCTACAAAATGAGACTATTTCAAAAAAAAAAAAAAGACTATTTCTGAATACAATCACATTCCAAAGTTGGACACGGGACACGGTTCAGCCTGTGACCCCAGCGGGGTACAGAGCGCCGAGGACCCAGCTGCTCCTGGGACTTGCTCAGGCGCACAGGCCCCTCACTAAGGGCCGGGCGGGCTGTCTTGTGTGGCCATGCCTTTCCGCAGCACGGTGTCTTGCCATTTCAAACCAGGTGTCCCTTTTGTGGCTGGGGGTTTGTATTCTTGTCCCTGAGGGGCGCAGTGGAACCCACACACTGCACTGCCCAGGTTGGCGTGAACCCTCTGCCACCTTGGAGCTGTTCAGGCTGCTGGGGAGCAGCCGGGGTCAGGCTGCAGCGCACGCCTTGGAGCAGAAGTGTGAGGCCTTCGGGCTTGCGAGAGCAGCTCCTCACATGTGCAGCCCCATGCCAGAGGATGTGACAAGAGCCTCCCCAGCAAACAGCGCTGGGGCGCCCAGCACCAGAACTAGCTGGACCTCCCCTGCTCCTAGGATCCCTCTGCCCTCGGGTGGCCCCAAGGCCTGAAGCACAGGGGTCTGTGCAAGCTGTGGCTCCAGTTCCACGCTGGCCTCCCTGGGCTGCCGGTTCCTGCATCGGTGGGAGCTTTCCCTTCCGAGTCCCCAGAAGGATCTGGCTCCCAGGCCCTCCTCACCTCTCTGGAGCTCTGATGCACCTGGGGCTGGCATCCTGTGCCCCTGTGGTGCACAGTAAGACACGCCATTCCAGGTATTGTTCTTTTTTTTTTTTTTTTTTTTGGTACCAGGGGTCGAACTCAGGTCCTTGCGCTGTGAGGCAGGTGCTGGAACCACTGAGCTAAATCCCCAGACCTCCAGGTATTGTTCTTAATGGAATTGAGTCACGTCAGATACCATCGCCACCAACACCATCACCATCCACAATACCAACACCACCTGCAGACCCTCCCTGTCTCCATGATGCCGACTGGGTGGTTATCCTGTTACTCCAGTGTTGCACCTGTTGGTCTTTGACCTTACAAGCTGTGTTTCTGGAATCCTTTGGGGGTCTAAGCACAAGTATCCATAGCCCCTGGTACAAGACAGAGAGAAAAGCTGACCGCTTCAGAGTCAGGAGAGAAAACCCCAGTTTGGTCCTGCAGGGCAGCCGGATGCTGTGCCCTTGGGAAGTTACTTCTGTAGTCACCCATCCATTCCACAGATGTGTGCCTCGGCTCTTTGCTGTGGAAAATGTCTGGGAGATTCCCAAGGTCCAGGTAGGAAGGGAGTGGCTGGGTCTCTTGTAGGTTTTTGCGGGGGGAGGTCTTAGCCCTTTGCCTGGGCTGAGCCTGGTATCCCTGTGGTCTGAGGTCCCTTCCTTGGACCAGCAGTGCCCCGCCTAGGAATCTCCCCACAGAGCCATCCGGCAAGAGTCCACGTGTTGTTCTAACACACCAGGCCAGGCTCCCCCAGGGACTGTGATCAGATGACCACCGGGGCTCCCACAAAGTGGATCGGGCCCTGCTTCCTTCAGGGCCTGGGTGCATTTGACACAAAAGATGTGGGATGCTGAGTGAGGGAATGGCTGGCACACAGCCTGGGTGTGGCCTGTGTGTTACCATTCATGGCAGGGTGGTAGCAGTGCTGGTGTCCGCAAAAAGATTGGGTGATTAGACAGTGTTTGAATGCTTACTCCTCTCTGTTATCTAGCTTTTTATTTAAAGATGTGCACTGCCTGTCTAATAATGGAAGAATAAACTAAAGAGCAAAGCCCCTGCAAGGCAGGGTGCTGGGCCCAAGGGCTGTGGCAGGGTGCCTTGGAGCCCTGTGCCCAGCTCTTCGCATCTCGGACCACTGAGAGGGCAGGCTTGGGCCGAGGTGTTAGCCTCAGAGCCAGCAGTGCCTCCGGTCTTCCATGGGCAACCCTGACCTTGGTGCCTCTGGCCTCTGGCGCTGCCTTTACAGCTTTGCTGTTGGCTTGCAGGATGTGTGTGCACCCTGTGAGGACCAGGAGGTCAGCAAGCAGTAAACGGCCACAGTGGTGACCCTGCGACTCATAACCCAAGTTCATCATCTGATGCAAAGGTGTCGCTGTGTGGGGTTCCGAGTCCTCGGGCTTGAGAGGACCATCACCAGCACACAGCACCAGAGGCTGCCCTCCTGAGCCTCCCTTGGGTGACACTTAAACTGCCTCCTGCTCCCCGTCTCCTAGGTGCAGGTACTGAGGACCCAGCACTGAGTGCACAGCACCCTGTCCTATGGAGGCCAAAGCCATGGGGAGCCAGACAGGAGGGACACCTCCTCCCGCTGGTGACAGCACTGCCAGCAGGTCACACACACGGTCACAGGATAGCAGGACTTCGCAGCCCTCCCTGAGGGCCAGTGTGTGAACAGAAACCCAAAGTCTGGAAGGAGTTGGCCTCAGCAGAGCTGGAAAAGAATGGTCCAGGCCAGGAACAGCCCCTGGGAGGGTGCAGAGTGGGGAGCAGTGGCCTGCTGCAAAGAGGGCCTGGTGTGTTCGTTGCCCTGAGCTGGCTGTAGGCCCCCAAGGGCCTGCCCTACTGCAGAGGGCATAGGCATGTCCATCACAGGTAGGCCCCTGTGGTACAGCCCTGGAGAGCCCGCTGTGCCCAAGTGCCCTCAGGCATCAGGCAAGGTCTGCATGATTTGTTCTAAGGAGTCTGCTAGTCCCCAGGAAGGGGCACAGAGGGTGCTGCCTCCTCACCACAAAGCCCTGAGCCCCAGAGCTGAGCGGCCAGGCTGACAGCAGCTCCAGGAGCGAGCTGCAAGGTGGTCCCAGAGTGGGCCGCGGTGTCTGCTGAAGCCTCTGTGTTCCTTGCAGGCGGCGAGTTGCGTCCCAACGCTGCTCCCTCGAGTTCCTGGAAGACACAGTGGGCTGCGCCTCGGTACAGAGGTACGCAGCCCGCTGCCCCGACTCTAGGGCAGCCACTGACCCCACGAGGCCCCAGAAGGTCAAGAGTGACCTGCTTTTTTCCCTTGCAGAACCAAACATGTGTCTGGGTCGCCTAGACACAAAGGCCTGAAGAAGACCCACTTCATCAAGAACATGAGGCAGTATGACACGAGGAACAGCAGGTAATAGCACCCAGGCACCAGGGCCCTGCTGTGGGTCCTTCAGGGCCCCATGAGTCCAGACTGTGGTCCCGGAGCCCAGCGGTGTGGGGTCTGGGTGTTTGGGGTGGACACGCCCTCCTCTTACTGTCTGAACACCCGCAGTTTCTGGCATGGCCTGCAAGCTACTTGCTGTGCAGTTCAGGGAGGAGCCGCCAGGTGGACACGGCCTGTGGGGCAAGAACGAAAGGAAAACTGGAAACAGATGGGCTTGGCCCTGAGATGCGTCGGGGAGGAGCCTGGTCGTGTTTGGGAAAGTGGGAGGCTGAGCTAAAAGCCAGTGTCCAGCTGCCCAGACGGTGCTGCGCTGGGCCCCGGGAGGCTGCACGTGGCTGCCCTGCCTCTGTACGGCCAGTTGCTGTGACACGGGCCCAGAGAGTTGCTCTTCCCCTGGCGGCCACCCTGCCCAGCACCCCCAGCGCTGCATATAGGCTTGGAAGGACACTTCCTCTCCAGTGCTGTCCTCAGTGTCCCCAGGGACCTTGCAGCAAGGGCCAGAGGCAGCCAAGCACTGGGGCTGTGGGCCTGGGCGGGTGGGGCCGGGGGCTGTGGTTGTTTCTTGCTCCTGTGGACCACACGCTGCCCAAGCACCAATAAGGAGTCTCCTGCCTTGGGTACTTCCTGGCTCTCAAGGGCCCACTCTTCCCAGGACGACTAGGGCCCTCAGTCCCTCGGCCTCCACCTTTATGAACAAGGCCTGGCCTCTCCCAGTGAGCCCTCCAGCCAGTGTGCCCGGGGAAGACCTTGCCTGCGCCACTTGGGCTCACGCCCGGTGCAGCGCTAGGGCTGCCATCACCAGACCTGCCCACAGCAGCCACTCTGGGCTCCTGGGGCCCAAGAGCCTCCTCCAACTAACTGGGACCTTCCCGTCGCCTGTCCACCCTGCCTCTTACAGGATCGTGCTCATCTGTGCCAAGCGGTCCCTGTGCGCGGCCTTCTCGGTCCTGCCCTATGGAGAAGGCCTGCGGATCAGGTGAGTGTTCGCATGCGGGCCAAGTCCAGAGTCCTGGCCCAGCTGAGCCCAGTGTGAAGGTGTTGCCCACCCACCAAGGTCCAGATGGGGCCTGCAGGCACTCATGTCAGCTGCCATCAAGCTCAGGAAACCCCGCTGTTTCCCGTCCTTGTTCTCTGGGGGCCATGGTTTGTGTCCAACCTGTCCATATATAGGTTGCCTGGGGTGCTCCTGTCCCTCAGAGACACAGTCGTGCCTCCTGTGACCAGGCCAGGCAGTCGTGTCCTGAGCACAATTTGGGAAAGAAGGAAATGGCTGTGGGGCGGGACAGCACTGTGTGTGGCCCTGGCATATGTAAAACAGCAACAGAGACCTCCTGCCTGGGGAGGCGGCCAGTTCTCAGGGCCCAAGCTGAGCTGCTGAGCGGTGTGACTACAAGTGAAGGGTTTTAAGCACCCAGGAAGCAAGCTTGGGCAAGTGAAGGTAAGTGCCAAGTGACATCATGGTGCTGCCAGCCCCCAAGGGTGTGGACAGGTCATGTCTGTGACAGGCAACAATGAGAAGGTGGCCTTACAACGGAAAGACACCCTGGCGCACACCTCTGAGCCATGCCCACTGAGGGGCCATGCAGACTCCTGGAGAGCTTTGGTGCAGATGGACGGGTGGGCTGAGCTGCTGAGCTGGGGCTCAGCATGGGCAGAAGGGCCACTGCCCCTTCTCCTGTGCATTGCAGTGACCTAAGGGTGGACAGCCAGAAGCAGAGGCATCCGTCCGGTGGCGTGTCTGTTTCTTCCGAGATGGTCTTTGAATTGGAAGGCGTTGAACTGGGAGCGGATGGAAAGGCAAGAGCCCCACGGCCATCTGGTGGCCAGCACTGTCAGGGCCAGAGGGCAGGGCCCTGGGAAGGCACCTTTCACATTAATCTGAAACACGAGGTCAGCAGCTGCCCTTGCTCCAGCCCTGAGAAGTCACCCGAGTGTGAGTGACATGGCACAGGTGTGTGTGGCACCACCCAAGCTGCAGCCTGAGCTCTCCACACTGTCTGGCCCACCTCTGGGCTGGGGGCCGAGGCCAAGGGTCCTCTGGGCAGGGAAAGTGTGGCAAGCTGTGCTGCAGAACAGGCGCGAAGCATGCCAGCCCCAAGGGAGCGCGTGACATGCTGCTCACAGCTCCTCCCAGCTCTGGCTTGTGCAGTCTCGGAAGGACAGGAGTCCACGTGCACCTGGCTTTCCTGCAGTGCAGTGCAGGGAAGCAGAACTGAGCCCCACCATGATTACCTTTCCAGGTTGTCTCTTATGCAAAGTTCCTGTACCCTACCAATGCCCTGGTTGCACACAAGAGTGACAGCCATGGCCTGCTGCCCCAGCCTCGGCCCAGCATCCCCCGGGCTCTGCCAGGGTCAAGACACAAACCTGCCACAACCAAGGTACCACCAGCTGGCACGGAACTAGGTAGGCACCCACCTTCCCCATGGCACGGACCTGGGTGGCATACAGGCCTTCACCATGGCCAGGCCAGAGCCAGGAATGGGCCACCGGCATCAGTAAGCCACATTCACCCCCAAAGCCCTTGCTGGAGAGCCTGCCCTGGGAGCAGGGCCAGTGGCAGCCTCTCTAGAGAAACAGCTCCAGTCGGCACAGCCAGGCAGCGGAGAGGAAACCATCCCAGGCTGCTCCAGAGGGGCCGTCTCTACTGCACCCACAGACTTTGGGCAGGGAAGAACCATAGCCAGCACCTCCCCAACTTCAGCAGTTTTGCTGGTTCTGATGGAAGTTCTGGGTGTCAGGAGCTGCCTCTCCTTACAGGGAGCGATGGGGGAGATACCCTGGAGTACAACCCCAACCTCCTGGATGACCCACAGTGGCCCTGTGGGAAGCACAAGCGTGTCCTCATCTTTGCCTCATACATGGTAAGGCCGGCCCTGCTCCACAGTGAGCAGGCACACACCTGCCCTGCATGGCACCTCCTGGGGCAGGCTGAGGGCAAGCTTCCCCAGCATGCAGAACCCTGGACAGCCAGCCCAGGGGGTACCTTGCCCCAGAGGCAGTAGGGTAGGAGGCTAGGCCTGCAGACACAGGCAGTGCATAAGCCCAGCCAAGAGCCATAGGCGCCTAGGTCACCCTGGGTGCCTGCCTGGGCCTCCTGCCAAGGACAGACGGGCTCTATGCCATCTTGCCCTCAGCCCCGGTGCCTCTCTGAAGCCCCACATGCTCACATGTGCAAACCTAGGTCAAGCAGAACCCACCCTACTATTTCTGTTGCAGACCACAGTGATAGAGTACGTGAAGCCCTCGGACCTCAAGAAGGACATGAACGAGACCTTCAGAGAAAAGTTTCCACACATCAAACTGACACTGAGCAAAATCAGGAGGTAAGGAAGGCCAGGTGGGTGCCCTAGCCTAGCCTGCTCCCTCAGCTGTGTGCCCTGGCGATGGGCTGTCCTCGTGAAGGCTGTGGCACCTTTTCTGATAGCTCAGAGCACACATTACAAGCCGTGGGTGGGTGACCACTTGAGCCGTGGCCATGGCCTCTGCCCCATGGACCCAGCCTCCATCCCACATCCTGCCTGCAGTTTGAAGCGGGAAATGCGGAACCTGTCTGAGGAGTGCAGCCTGGAGCCAGTGACTGTGTCCATGGCCTACGTATACTTTGAGAAGCTTGTACTGCAGGGCAAGCTCAACAAACAGAACCGCAAGTTGTGCGCTGGCGCCTGCGTGCTACTGGCTGCCAAGATCAGCAGTGACCTCCGCAAGAACGAAGTGAAGCAACTCATTGACGTGAGTGTGAGCTCCCCACTGCAGCTGCCCTGAGCAGCCCAGGCCTCCTGGGCCTGCACCCCGAGAAACAAGTCACCTGCCTGACTGGGGGGGCAGCCCACACCCAAAGCCACTGCCTCAGGTAGGGAACCCAGACAAGGGTTGGGCCTGTTTAACCTTTCTCTCCTCCAATGCAGAAGCTGGAAGAAAGATTCCGATTCAACAGGCGAGATCTCATTGGGTTCGAGTTCACAGTGCTCGTGGCTTTGGAACTGGCCTTGTACCTTCCGGAGAGCCAAGTGTTACCTCACTACAGACGCCTCACCCAGCAGTTCTAGCCAGGCCACAGCCTCGAAGGAAGGCTAATCAGCAGGTAGACGTGTTCCTTGGCCTGGGCACTGAGGCTTCCAGCATCTGTGTGTCCACCCCACCTTGCCCACCGGCCTCCTCTAGGTCTGAGCTTCTTAGCCCATCCACTTCATTTCTTTACTCTGCGTTTCCTTGGAAAGGGACACTGCTTTCGTCCAAAGTGTACCACAGCTCCAAGGGTATCTCTGAGAATTTTCCTGGAGCTTTACATGAACACAGTGCAGGGTTTGATTGGTTTCTCATGTGCCTGAGACCAGCCTGGCACCAGGACCTTTGGTTTTCACTGTGTGGTGGTGAATCCTGAGTTCTGGCTGTCTTCCTCTCTTCGCCTTACCTTTGCAAACCATCAGCTGCAGCCCTAGCATCAGAGATCTGGGTGTCCAGACCTCGAAAGTATGCCAAGATTGCCAGGTGGTTTAACTTCTCAAGTATCCATCTTGGATATTCGTTTTTCTGGATGTGGCAGTATGGCCCCTCAGCCCCAGCAGTGTCTCCCAGCATCAGCACCTGCTGGCTCCATCTCCACCTGAGCAAGCTCCTCCAGAGCCTCCCCATCAGCACTGGCTTTTGGTGTCAGTTTAAGCCGCCAAGAGCAAAGTCTAGGTCTGTTCTGATGTTTTTCTAACTCTTGGACCTGTTTTTAAGCATTGTGTCACTGTGAAATCCCACAATGCCATGTTGCATGCCCCACAGGGCTTAGCAGACACCAGCCCAGTCTTGGCCAGGCCCCACCCTCTGCTTCTCATCAGGAAAACCCACTCACCCAGAACACAGGAACTTCAGGACAACTGCTGACTCTTGGCTCTTGACTTTCCTAAGCAATACTGTGGCTGAGAAATGTTTACTGTGACTTGGGATTTGGCTCTGTGAGGTTTTCCAATGTGCCCAAGGCAGGAACCAGGCACAGATGTAGACCAGAAGCCAAGCTGGGATAATAGGGTTGGTTTGCCCCTGGCTGATGAGAGCACCAACTCTGCATTCAACACATCAGGGACAGTAGGTCTTACACAAACTGTTCAGGGAGGCCCACTGAAGGTCTGACCTGAAACCACACAAAGGCACCGACCAGTGTGCAGTCCACAGCATTCTCAGTCAGTGCCTTTTCCTCATCAGGAAGTAGATACCATCTTGGCCAGTTCAGCCAGCATGGCGCACCATGCCAAGCAGCCACCATTGTCCCCTCTGCAACTGTGGCCACAGGGCATCTGGGCCACCTTCTGCTTTTCAAGTTTGTCCAGTGTTCTTGCAGTGGCCCACGTGGCTGTTTGATGCCCCATCAAAAACAGGAACCAAGGAATACTGCTTTTCCTCAGTGGCCAGCTAATCTCAAAAATGGCCATGCTGTTGGCATCCGGCAGACCTGCCTGTCACTGGCAGAGGCTGTGCTAAAGGGAGATGCTAACCTGTTTGTGGGACTCAGCTACTTGCCTACCTTCTCCCTGCACTCACCCTGATCACCCAGGCCGAGAAGCAGTAAAAGCCGGAGCACACAAAGGGAAGGCTGCAGGACAGGGAGGAACCAGTCCTTATTCTGATCTACCATGCAGTCTCCCATTCAACATGCCAAGGAGTCCCTCCAAACTCTTCTGTGCACCCGAGACCACACCCCACAGTATTGGGCCTAAATCCAGGCCAACCACTCTCTTCACTGTCCTGCCACCAAAGGGTGTCTCCGGGCACTCCACTTGTGAACCCTAAAAGAAGCTACCTTCCTACATACTGCTCTGGTTTACAACCTACTCTCTGGGGCACATCCCCTTAGGACTTCCATAGATGTTAGTGTGAAGAAAATGGTTGATGAACACAGTGGTAACTTAAGTTTGTTATTTATGCGGGGAGATTTAGTCCTTTACCATACTGGTCTGTTTGAAGCCCTTCTGTATGTCCTTTTCAGTAACTGTGTGGTGTCTTGAGAGCTGCTACAACAAAGCCAACACTTACACCAAATGACAGCCTGAACCTGTCATCCTCTATACCGAGTCCAGAAGTCTGAGCTGTGTCCCAGGTGTTCAGCTGGGCTGTGACCAAACAAAACCAGACCTGGTACCACTTCCTCAGCACCCAGCAGTTGTGAACATAAGTGTGCATAAGTGAATATCTGACCTCAGAATGTTCAAGTTACTTATCATGGATTGTTTTCAAGTGGATAACATTTATTTGTTGGAAGTAAAATTGTTTTGCAACATACTCCATGGTTTGTCTCCTTTGAACTAAGGTACATTGCCCCATTCTAGTCGCCCATACATAGTCAAGTGCTACCCCTATTCCCAAGCCCCCAGGAGCATGCCTACAGGGACAGAATAAGCCAACACAGGTGCTTTCTGACTATTTATTTATGACAGATGTTCCACATCCACAACATTCTCCACTCAGAAGTTCCTACAATAAGGAAAGAAAGGCAGTGTTACAATCTTGTCTCTGGGGTGATCCTCAACCACTGCCCAAGAACAGAAAACTGCCTCTTACTTTGAGACGATGCCATCAGCCTTGGCCAAACGTAGAATAGAGTCATCTGATTCACCCTGGAAAAAGAGCTCTCTAAGAATATTTCCACTATGGCTACTTGGGCTGGCAGGAAGTCCTGCATGCACCATCAGACTGGCGTTTCTACCCAGGAGAAAGGGTATATAAACAGCAGACAAGCACTGCCAGTGAGCAGACACTAGCAAGCTCCTAGACAAAGGCAGAGCCGACCTTCTGGGCCCCCAATCACCCTTTTCTACCCTAGGAAAAAGCAAGCAACCAGTAAACCTACTCTTGCCTATGATCTATTCTGGCCTAAAAGAATGAAAGACAGCATTACATGCCCAAATGCCCAGGTCCAAACCCCCAGCAACCGGAGGCTGGGGGAACGTCCACGTGGTAACCAAAGCATAGGAAAACACTCACCATCCTGCGAATGGCCCCGCAGATGGCATAGGTTTTAAACTGGCCGTTAAACCTGCCCGTGACCTTGTCAACCTACGAAGAAAAACGGAAAGGCCACTTACCTTTAGCCTAATCGGGAGTTTGAGAAACAAAGTACAAACCCAGTCCAAGAGCCTTCCCGTGGGGGCAGGCTTCCCACTGCCCAGGATCCCGTCTCACCTCGGCCACATTCATCTGGATGGATGCGTGGTCCTTCGCACCAATAATGCGGTTGCTGGCGGAGCTGCAGGCAAGAGGGCTCCGTGAGCGAGGAAGGGAGGAGCTGCGGCTGGCTGGCCCGGGAAAGGGCCGTGAGCCCAAGGACGGAGGGACCACGGGGAAACCGACAGGAAAGGGCCACGGATGCAGCGCGCTGGGCGAGAACACTCACCACTTCCGCGGCACATACAGGTCCACGAACTCGCCCGCGTCGTTCTGCATATTGAGGCCCGGCCTAGGGAGCAACGCACGGCGCCACGAGTTCTGGACTGCCCCGCACCCCACACGCGTGGCCCCAGCCCGATCCCCGCCTGGCGCTCCCCGAACGTTAGAAACCCCGCCCTGGCACCTCTAGAACCCTGCCCGGATCGGCCCCCGCCTAAAACCTACCCCTAGTACCCGACCTGCTGCCTCCGCTACTAGCGCGAGCAGAGAAAGGAAGTGGCGCGTCCCCCGACGGCAGTATCGCAGAGAGGAGGCGGGGCTTCAACGAGCACTTCCGGGTCACGCACCGCTTGGCGTCTGCGCATTACATCCCTGCTGGGCGTCGGTCAGGCACACCCACTTCCGGCGCGGAGAAGCTACGCCCCGCCCAGTCCTGTAGCGCGCGGCGCAGTTCCCGGGAGAGGGCGGGCGCTCGCGGCCGTCCCCGCCCCGGGACCCCGCGCCTGGTCCGAGCTCCTGCCCGCGGCTGTGTCAGCTCCCGGGCGCGGGGCAGAGACACCTTGCTGTGGTCCGGGCAGAGATGCTGGTCGCCCCCGAGGGCAGCAGCGGCGAAGGGAGGCACCCAGCCCGCCAGAGCGGCCGCGCGGGGCATCGGAAACCGGCGCGACCCGGCGGCCCCTCTCGCGTGCGCGGGAGTGTTGGAGGCGCCCTGCGACCCCGCCGCCAGCCACCTGCCGCTGGGAAACCCTCCAGAGAGCGCTGGAGGTGACTCGATGAGCCGGGTCCTAATGACAACCGGATGGAGACAGCCCGTGGGTCCTGGGGACGCCTCGGTCGCAGCCTGAACTCGTTACCGCAGGAGCTCGCCAGCGAGGGAGCAGGGGGCCTCGGTCCCCACAGCCTGGCCCTGCACAGTCTGCACTCCATCCCCCAGCAGTACTGAGAAGTACTTATGCCGGTCCTTTCCAGGTGAAAATAGAAGGTAACATCCCAGAGTCACCCCCACCCCAAATTCATGGGAGTGTCAGAGCACTTCCCCCAGGAAAGCTCAAGAGAGCTTCGTCCTGCCTCCCTGGTGGGGCCTGCCCGAGGCCGAGCCACAGCTGTGGTACCCGGTCCCTTCTCTGACCCAAGCCTACCTCATGCTGTCAAGAACCCTCCCAGAACCAAGTTTTCCTTTTCACATACCAATCTGCTTGTCATTAAACACTGACAGTGAACTGTGTGCCTGAGGTCTCCCCAGGGAACTGGAGCTGCTCACCGTGTAGCACTGCTCGCAGTAGGCACACAGGGCACGGTGTTGAATGAATGCACCAGAAGCCCTCAGCACAGCACCCTGTCTGAGTGAGAAGGTTTAATATCTGGGGCTGTGGGAGCTGAGGCTGCAAATTCCCTGCTCCTGCAGAGCAAGTGTTATGTGGGCAGCATGTCTGCTGGGCTTCCCCTAGACTCCAGCCAGGCATCAGAGGTGAGGTCGTTGAGGTCACTGACCTTTGGGAAGGTCGCTGAGGCATGCGTTCTTTCCAGAAACCCCAGGGTGTGTACAGGGGGGACATCTGCAACTGGCCTGGCCGTGTCTGTGTGGGGTGACCCCGCAAAGATTGGGGGTCAGAAGATTCTCTTCGACTGGACAGGCAAAGATGGAGCAGCTGGAGCCCAGAGTTCCTCGAGGTCTTCCCTGAATACTCAAGTCTTGTCAGTACCATTCCTCAGGTTGGGGAAAGACCGTTATAAAAGCTCCAGGGACAGGACTGAGTGCGCCCACTGGACTGGAACAGTACCCATTCCCAGCAGCCAGGTTGGCAAAGGTCAGTTCACAAGGCACTGCTTAAAGTACTCAGATCTTGCCTCAGTAATGGGTAATAATTATGCCCAGCCTAAATGCTGCCCTGGTCCTACCTAGTAATCACAGAAGTAATATCTGAAAGGATCACACTGATTGTGAGTAACTGGACACATTCTAGAAGAATAGCTTAAGACGCTTGTAGGAATACAGTCAACATTGAGCACCCAACAAGGTAAAGTTCACATAGCTGGCATCCAGTAAAATACTACCAGGAACACAGTGAAGCAGGAAAATAAGGCTGTTAATAAGAGGAAAAAGCAACCCATGGAAATGAATCCAGAAGCAACACAGATGTTAGAAGTAGCACACAAGGCCATTATAAGGGTTTTTATGTAACATATCCCATCTGTTCAAAAAGTTCAGTAGAAAAGTGGAAAACACAAAAGAATCCTAATTAAATTACTAGATAATAAGTTTCCTCAGCTGCCACTGAGGTGAGCAGTCCTTCAAAAGGAGCAAAGGCTGGGCCAGGTGTGGTGGCACATGTCTGTGATCCCAGTACATGGTAGGCTGAGGCAGGAGAATCTCAAGTTCAAGATCAGTCTGGGCCGGAGATTTAGCTCAGTGGTTTCATCGCCTGCTGCGCAAGCACAAGGACCTGAGTTTGATCCCCGGTACCAAAAAAATAACAAAGAGGTAGATTTTCTCCTTAAAAGAGCTTAAGGGCTGGGGATTTAGCTCAGTGGTTCCAGCGCCTGTCTCACAAGCGCAAGGTCCCAAGTTCGATCCCCGGTACGAAAAATGAAAAAAAAAGATCAGTCTGGGCTACATAATGAGTTCAAGCCAGCCCGGAGTACATAGTGAAACCCTGTCTCAAAAAATAAAATGAAGGAGAGGTGGGCTCATATGTAGAGAAATGATAGCTGAAAATTTTCTGGATTTGATGAAAACTAAATTCATGATTACCACCACAGAGAAATGATATATTTTTGAGAGGATGGATCTGTTTACCCTGATTTTTAAAATTACACAATGTGACCGGGGATTTAGCTCAGTGGTTCCACTGCCTGCCTCAAGCACAAGGTCCCAAGTTCAATCCCTGGTACAAAAAAAAAAATTACACAATGTATATGTGTATCAAAACATCCTATGGTATCCCATAAATACAATGTTTATATCAGTTGGTTTTTCTTTTTGGTACCAGGGATCAAACTTGGACCTTGCACTTTCAAGGCAGATGCCGGAACCACTGACCTAAATCTCCAGCCCATATATATCAGTTTTTTAAAAACTCACGGGAGCCAGTAGGCTGCAAATTCAAGCCTGGGGAGGATGGCGAGACCCTGTCTCAAAAAAATTAAAATGGCTGCAGGTTTATCTCAGTGTGAAGGCCCCTTTAATGATACTACTTTCTCCCTGGAAGCAAAACAAATGAGAAGACTGGTAAAGCATCCTGAAAGCGCTTAAAGGAGAGAATCTGTCAGCCTGTAATTCTATAGGCAGTGAAAATATCTTTCAGAAATGGCAAGAGTAACCAGGCTTGGTAGCGCACACCTGTGACCCCAGCACCCTGGAGGCTGAGGAAGAGCGCAGGTTCCTGAGTCCCAGCCTGGGCAACACCGAAACACACTGTCTCACAGAAAAGAAGAGAGGAAAGGAAAGAATGGGAGATTTGATGTTTCCTTAAAAAGTTAAAACCAGGTGCAATGACACAGACCTGTAATGCCAGCTCCAAGGGAAGCTGAGGCAGGAGAATAGCAAGTTCAAGTTCCATCTGGGTTACTTTAGTGAGACTCTGTTCTGAAATAAAAATTAAAAAAAAAAAAGACTCCGGGGGCCGGGGATTTAGCTCAGTGGTTTCACCGCCTGCTGCGCAAGCACAAAGACCCGAGTTCGATCCCCAGTACCAAAAGAAAGTCTGGATGTAACTCTGGTAGAACACCCCTCACCAAGAAAAGAAATGCTAAACAGAGTTACCATGTGTCCCATCAGTTTCACTTCTAGGTATAGAGCCAAAAGAAGTGAAAGCAGACTCAAATACTTGTATATTAATGTTTGTACCAACATTATTCACAGTAGCCAAAGAGTAGAAGCAACTCCAGTGCCCACCAACAGATAAACGGATAAATGAAGTATTCATACAGGGGAACATTATTCAGCCACAAAAGGAAATCAGATTTGATACCTGCTACCTACAATATGGAGGGACTCTGAGGACCTTATGTTGAAAATAAGCCAGACAGCAATATAATGTTTTACGACTCCACTTACGTGAAATATCCAGACCAGGAGGTTCATAGAGATAGGAAGTATGCAGTTACTAGAGGTAGGGATGAGGAATCCAGAGCTATTTGTTTAATGGTTGCAGAGTTTCTGTTTAGGGTGATGAAAATTTGGGAAATATATTGTGATGATGCATACACAGCATTGTTAAGGTAATTACTGCTGCTGACGTGCATACTTGTGAAAGGTTAAAATGGTGAGTTGTGTGTGCATTTATCAATAAAAATAGTATAAAAAGGGAGCCAGGGCTTTAGCTCAGTGGTGCTGCCACCTGCCTCGCAAGTACAAGGACCCGAGTTCGATCCCCAGTACCAAAAAACAAACAAATGAATAAATAAATAAATTGTGGAGGAGTAAAATTTAAAATATATATATAAAAAGTGAGCTGTTCACCATAAGGAATTTCCCCAAAAAATGAAATAAGTACTTTTTAAGATACACAAAAGCTGAAAGAATCAATCAGTAGTAGACCCTAACTACAAGAAATATTAAGGAAGTACTTCAGACCAAAGAAAAATGATACCAGATGAAATTATGTTCAAAGCTCTGCTCATGGAAACTAGGAAGGTAACTAAGATTTGGCAGCTTTTCTATTTGTTGGTTGGTTGATTGGTTGGTACTGGGACTCAAAGCCAGGGCTTCGTGCATGCTGGGCGCACACTCTACCATTGAGCTAAAGTATAACTAAATAGCATGCAGTCCGGGGAAGAAGTGGAAGTGTGTAATATTGTGTAGAGAAAGTGGTATCATATCACTTGATGGTAGAAACCAGTGATGTTATGAAACATCCTGTTTTGCACAAGACATATTCCCACACAGATACCGACCCAAAATATCAGGTTGAAAACTATGCCCCAAAAGTAACTAACAGAATAAAACCAAAAGTTATACCTAATAGACCACAAAAGGGATGAAAAAGAAATCATAAGAAAATTCTCAGTTGTACACTAACCTAAAATCAAAATGGATCAAAGATCTAAATATTAAAATGGAAACACTAAATCTGCTGGAAGAGAGAATAGGTAGAACGCTTGAAAATATAGGAGTAGGCAAAGACTTCACAAACAAAACCCAGACCACATGGGAAATACTGCAAAGAATCAACAACTGGGACCCCCATCTCATTAAAAAGCTTTTGCACAGCAAGAGAAACCACCAACAGTGAAGAGACAACCCACAGCATGGGAAAAATTTTTTACCAGCTATTCTTCAGATAAATGACTACTATCTAGAATATTTAAAGAACTAAAAAAAAAAAAATCAGACACCCCCCCCCAAATTTAAAGA